GTGGGGAGCTTGTTTTCTGATCATACCTGTTTGCTATTCTAAATGCTTTCTATACCTTGATGTCAATATCTTTGTCCAGATTTGAGAAGTTTTCTGTTACTGTTGTATTTATTTCTATGCCTTTAGTTTGTATCATGTTTCCTTCATCTACACCAGTAGATTCATTAAGTTTGGTCTTTTAACTATGTCCAGAACTCATATTGTTTTTCCATTACTTTTTCTTTATTAATTTCTTCACGTACTAAACCCTTAGCTTTACTTTTAAGTCCTGAAATTTCTATCTACTATACGGTTTTACTTACTGGTGAGAATTTTCTATTGATTTGTGCTTTTCAGTTCTATAATTGCTTTGCATTTTGCAGAAACTCTTTGTTGAATTGTTCCTTCATATCCTGCATTGCTTTCCTTAATTCATTCAAATCAATATTTGTATCATTTTTGAAGCCATTAATCCTTCCATCTTGCTTTTTCTATTATTGGTTCCTGGCTGCCATGAGGTAAGCAGACTCCACTGCCTCACACTCTGGATATAACGGTATTCAGCCTCTTTTCAAGTCTAAAAGGGTTGGAGCTAGCTAACCTCTAAAGTGTGAGCCATAGTAAATCTTCCCTCTTCTAAGTGACTTTTCTGAGGTATTTTGGTCCTATGAAGAAAAAGCTAACACTTCAGTCCTTTAAACCCAGTAAGTCATTGTTTAATGACAATATTTTTATAGTCTCAATTCTCCCTCTCAATCTCAATCCTCCCAAAGACAATCTGAATGCCTAGAAGAGATTCTCACACCTACATAAAATCATCACATTCATGTAAAGATTTTGGGTGTCATATCGATCTTCCTCTCCTATCTCAATTGGCCCATGTAATCTTCTAAATTCATAGCAAAAGGACAAGAACACATTTTTGCTGAATCTGGATGGTAGACACAGATTGGAATCATCACTTGTATTGACTTGTGCTCTGCTTGTGCCAAACTTCTGGAAGTTGCCTCTGCTGATACAAGTGGTAAAGGGATGATTCTCCAGAAACTCTCACAAAGTAGTTTACCCCAACCAGTCCACAAATTAAGTCACCCCAGCCAGTCAATAAGGTAATTCACCCTAGCCAGTTGATCATTGGAGAACCCCTATCAGAGAAACTATCAGATCTGTTTCCCTGGAAAGCTGAACTAGAGTTGCTGGCTTTGTCTCATATATATTTGAGTATATTATTAGCCATTGTTTCCCACGTGTCCTCAAAATAATAAAACACAGGAATTTTTTTCACAAACTGGAAAGAATGTCAAGTTCCTGGGCTGAGAGAAAATCATGACAGAAGAAAGAAATTTCTGAAGATGCCTTTTATCCACGGCTGTCTGGTCAAGAATCAAGGGTGAAGGTCCAAGTGCAGAATTCTGAGTTTCCCAGGTGAGGGGTTGCCAGCAGCTGTGTATCTGAAGCTGCAGAATCCAGCATTGGGAACCACTGCTGTCCCATATCCTAACGGGGCATATCACCCCATTGTTGCCTTACGTGGGGGGCTGGTGTGTGGCATCCGGATGAGTACACGGAAGAAGGAGAACTGAGGAACCCGGTTCTGTCTCCAGGTGGCTGTCTCTGTGTGTAGGGATCTGCCTTGCACACAACATAGTCCTTCCAGTGAAGTCACAAGCATTTGGGTTGTTACCTGTAGTGTCAAATTGACAGATAACAACCAACATAGTAATGAAGGCAAAGAACCAAGGTGTTGGCTTCAAAAATAATGTATCAAAGATTGACCTGTTAGTCTGAGTGGCCTGATGTGACACCTGAAGAACCAAGTTATGCTCACACTGTCTTGTGTCTCCCTAAAAACTGCTGTCAGCGAGTGTTGCAGTAATTTCCTTATCCCCATTAAGACCAGATTCAGAAAATACTTACAGTTGCCTTCCATCCCACCCTGACACTTATTATCTGAGCAGAAGAGATGAATAAGGGAATACAAACAAATTGTGTATTTTTGTTAGATCATGTTTGTCTCTGAGGCTCCATCTAGCTCCAGAAATAATCATTGATAAGCTAGTTTCAATTTCTCTTTGACAATCACGTGTTCCCCTTCTCCTTCTTTCCGTGTAAGGGATAGAACTCAGCTGCAGCTTACCTTGCCCATTTTTGAGATTTGCACTTTGAGTACAGACTCCCCTTTAACCACATTAATACATTTCAGTGTGCGCATTTGCTTCCATTAATTAGTCCATTGCTAGTTTATTTCACTGACTAAAATTGTTTAATTTTCAGGGGAAAATGCATAGTTGAAAACTTTCATAGAGCATAGAGACCAAAACATAGGAAAGGGTTCTAATCCTTGGACATGTGGGTAGGAGGTTATAGCCAAGTGCAACAGTGGGAAAAGAAAACCATCTATTGTCCCAGCAGGCCCCTCATTTTGATTCAAATTCTTTTATGCTATTTTGTTATGTTTGATACTATTGTACATGAGGGTATGCTCAACTATTTCAAAGAAAGAGACATTATGGTAGCGACTGTTAATATCCAGTTGTCTTGTGGTGAAGTGCTGTGTTGCTTACATTGTTCTGTTCTGATCTGCTTTATTCTGTCCTCTTTTGCCTTAATCTCTTTAAGATAAAATTTTTAAAAAACAAAAGCAAATTCTCATTCAAACTCAACAATAGGTAGTGGAATCACCAGCTTCATATACATCTTGACATAGTCAGAAATCTATATATGAGTAAAAATTCCCAAAGTAATGAGACAGAGATAATTGTGGTTTTAGAAAAATGTTTTGGCTGTATCTAAAATTAGTAAAATAAAAATGATATACTCTGTATTTTAAGAACAAGTGTATCTAAAATTAGTAAAATAAAAATGATATACTCTCTGTATTTTAAGGACAAAGGTCATGGTATCATCTTACAAATTCACATACAAGAGGTTTCTGCTTGAACTAAAGAATTTTATATCTGTGTATTTCCCTCTAAGCTGAATATCTTTTTCCTAAGTGATACCACCTTCTTTATTCATGGAATCTATTCTAAAATACACTGACAAATCGAATAATGCATTCAACAGATTTTTTGCTGAGTGCAGGTTAGAAATTTTTCTCTGTGTTCTTTTCCATAAAATATATTGCATTACAAATCTAAACTGACATGGGCGTATTAAAAATCCCTGGGATTTTCCTCTGATTTTATCCTACATCTGATGTACATTTGTATTTATTTATCTTAGTCTGATATACTGTACATTTTGGATATTTGTATTCGTCTTTCTTATCCAAATGTTTGATTATGTAACAAATCAAACAGAAAACTCAAGGAATTTTATATCAAACATACCTAGCCTATACAATTTTAATTTTACTATATTTGTTACATATGTATTCATTAATTCATTTCTACCCATCATTGTTTCACAGTCTTTGCTGCTCCATAAAAGGCAATCAATATACATAATCCAAAAAACCCCACCATACATAGGCGATTGGCTTATGTACTAAGAACATGTATTACTAAAAACATAAACTATAAACATTATAGCAAGAGATTTCTATTTGCTCCAATAAATGTTATCAATGGACCGTCTATACAGCTTTACAATATTATTTCTTTTTTCAATGTATGTTTGATAACATTTCTTAAAAGGCAATTTTATGTCTATTGGATTAAAAAACCCAAATGGAAATTATTAGGAGCCACTGTCTGGCAATTCATGTACTAATAACAATAATAATCATTATTTGCTATTGTTCTGCATAATGCCTTCTTATTTCTATAGAAAGTTCCTCATTCTAACTTTTGTTTCAAAGGTTCATTGTAAATAAAAAAATATGTATTTGATAAAATATTGACATGGTTCCAAAGCCAAATATGCAGAAATCTAGCCTTTATTATCCCTATTGTTTTTCTACTACTTGCCACACAGATAAATCTTACATTAATTTTGTTCATTGTTTTTTATTTTAATAGGGATATTCACACATTCCTCTAGACCCTCTAGTTATCTATTTCTTCTGTCCCTGGCCTTAATCAGGAGCTGTTGATAAGAGCAGCATTGACTATATGTTCAGCTAACCAACCTATTATGTCCCACTGAATCGTTCCTGTGTGTGGAAGATGTGGTTTCAAATAGCCTGTTTTGGACTTACCTTAGTATCTCCCGTACACATTCTCCCATACACATTCACAGTCAGTATGTAGGGAAACTGGTCTTTCTTTTACTACCTAGTGTCATGAAAACTTTTCAGTATTAAGTAAGGAGAGAATTTTGTATAACAAAGCCTAACATCTTGACAACTTACCAACTAGCTGTATGCTTTTACTACATTGTGATGAACTTGGCCAAGAAGATTTTAAATACCTCTTTACTTCCCGATGCCAAGATCAGCCGAGGAAGAGCAGCTATTAGTTTAGCAAAAATCAGAACAGAGCCAAACTAAAAGCAGAATGGGTGGCAACTCAAATCACATTGTGTGTTTCTCAAGAAGTATAGATGGGGCCTCAGATTTCCCATTTACATGTACTGCACCAGTGGAGGCAAATCTCCCCTTATAAGTGGTTGTGTTATGGTCGTAGGTAAAAAGTTCCAGGAGTGATTAGTGAACGCAAGTCATATCTAAGGCCAATATTCATGGACTACTATTCCATACGTTTGAATTTAATGAAATTTGCCTGATTTGTCGTCAACAAAGAAGAAATAATTGTCACTTGTATGATCCCAAAGTATCACATGAATGACCCCCAGCCATGCCAATTCCCACATGCTGTAGGGTCAAGGTGACACAAGTCAAATTTTTAATTCTACAATGTATAGAAGTAAGTACCTCTCCACATACCCCTATTTTTTTCAGAAATCTGCCTTATGTTTAATTGCACAACTTCCTTTGCTTCAGGCCTCCTCAGGCTATATACAGTATATTGGTTCTGCATTTTCCAACATTCATGCAAATACAGTGTTGTAGCATGGTGTAGTATCGTCTGGTTCCAAGCTCTTGCTGTTCTGTTCAAAAAACTAGATGGAACAGTCAATGAACTTGCTATTCAATGTTTATTTAAAGTAAAAGAAGAAGGGAAAGAAGGGAAGAAAAAGTGAGGTACAAGAAGAATTAAGAAAAGTGAAGACACACACCAATGGAGGATGGATCACTCCAAGAACAACGGGACCACAGAAGCTGTGAACTCAGTGGTCACCGTCTTTTATATCCTTCTTTAATGTCATTTCCAGCACAGCAAAATTACTCTGTGCTGTGACTAGACAGCTCTCTGTCATACCCTTTTGTCCAGTCTCCTTGGCATGCCCTAATCTCCTACCTCAACAGAATATCCACTTTTTAAAAATATCTGCCCAAATATACTTAAAGTAAATTTTGGTGTCAGTACACTTACTGGGTGAGTATTTGGGGGTTAGGAAAAGATTATATTACACAAACTACCCAATAGTCCTCTAAAAACTACACAAACCTATTTGTGTCATGTTCAGCTTGCATATTCACTTTTCCCACTTTAAAATGCATTTATCAAGGGCCACGCTTGCTATAAATAAATGTCAAGCAACGTATCTGGGCTATATAGATCCTTAGGACAGAAAATGCAGAAGAGACTTGTGTAAAGAAAAATTGCTTTCACTACAAGGCTTTAGGACACGTGAAAAAAAAAAAAAAAACAACTTCCCTTTGGAAGTGTCCTCTGCTCTGTACACCAACAGATTAAGGAAGGAAGCTCTTTACTTCTATTACATATCCACAAGGAACACTATTCTTGTTGATCTAGTTGCTGACAGGTGTGCAAAGCAGCATGAATCATCCATAGTCAACAAGCGCAGGGATGCGTGCTGACAAGTTGATGCTCCTGGCATAAGACACATAATGGGAAGGACAGAATGTGGGCTGGGCAGGCAGTGGAGAATATGCTGTATTGAACTAATATGCATTTAGTGCATTAATATTTTTGGAGGCAGCAACTACAAGAGATTGTTGTTACATTTAGCAACGAACATGTGACATCAGTACAGGTGTGTTGTCCTTCAAAACACAGGATTCAGGTGTTCAGTGAGCCTCAGAGCCTTCTCATAGCTCAGCAATGCCGCATTTGTGTCCCCTTTCAGTTTCTGGACCAGCCCAAGGAGGCTGATGCTTTCCACAACGTGAACATTCTGTTGAACTCGTCTGTTAGCCAATTTATCCAATGCATTTAGAAGTTTATCTCTGGAAAAGGATGTTACTTCTATTTTGAGACCTTTTAAATAATGAGTGATTGCCTTGTCTTCTGATTTCTTGTGGAACTCTTGGAAACAGCCATAACGGAAATGGATCTCTTGCTGTAAGTGATCAGCAATATTCTCCATGCGTAACACTTTCTGAAAACTTTCCTCTGCCTTTTCATACTGGCCTATTTTTGCATACACGTCAGCCAGGTTAACATAAGCCATCTCAAATGTGGGCCTGTCAGCTATAGTTATTTGAAACTCATCTATAGCCAACTGTAACAATTTGTTAATAATTTCTCTGTTCCGTGTATTGTTAGTTCCCTTTATTTGGAACATTTGCACCTTGTAGCAAAGCCCAATCTGGTGATGCAGGGAGGCAGAGTTAGGTGTTGCCTGCAAGGCCTTCTTAAACAGCTCAAGAGCTTTATCCACACAGCCTTTTCTTCTGTAAAATTTGCCTGCATATTGATAGACATAGGTCTGAAATGAACTGTTCAGGGCTTCTTTAATGTACTTTTCTCCTTCAGCTTCCTTTCCTATATCTTGAAGCTTCATTGCAAGGAGAACCTTGATATATATGTCATCTGGATTTAGCCTTATGGCCTTCCTCAGGGGGTCTAGAGACATTACATTACTTTTATCACAGTCTTGGCGAAAGGTGACAATAGCATATCCAGCGTTAAACTCGGGGTTTTCAGGCTCTGCTTTAAGAGCCTTTTCAAAGCAGGCCTGAGCCTGCTTATAATTCTGTCCTCCACACTTCAGCAAGGCCCATCCTTCCTCACAGTCCATCTCAGGGCACTCCATCAGGTAGCGGAAGGGACTTGAAAACTTCTTGCAAACATTCTCTACCTTGTCCAGGTACCTCTTGGCATTTGCCAACCTGCCCATGTGGTAATACACCCAGGCATAGTTGCCCCAGGTCACCAGGCTTCTCACATCTGATTGATCAGTGTGTTCTTTCTGGATTAAGCTTTCAGCATCTTTCAGGCTCTGCAGAGCTTTGTCATTCTGACCTTTTAGGTGTTCCACATAGGCCAGGAGGTTGTACATTCCCACATTGTTCTTGTTGTCTAGACTCTCAATGTGTTCCAAGGTCCTGCCTTCTAAATCAAATATTTCCCTGTCATCAATTACCAGTTCCCATGTAAAGTGACATTTCAGCTGAACCAAGCAATCCTTGACTTGGTGATCTGCAACTTTCTCACTGTGAAAACACAAGAGGATTTGTTAAGTGATGAACAGCCAAAATCTTTTTAAAAATCAATCATTTTAAAAATAATTTTTGCACTACTTGAAAATCTCACTTAGAGTCCTGCAAAGTAATGTGTATTGGACAGTGAATAAAGGTTCTTAAATCCTCTATCAGTGAGCATTTGCATTGCTAATATACAACATCTGGCACTCACAATTGATAGAAAGGTTTAATTCAGTTCATGGTTTGTAGAAATTTAATCAACATTAAATTGGATCCAATACAGGCACATAATGGCAGATGGCATGTCAGAGCAAAACTACTAGCTCAAGACAGCTGGGGAGCCTTGCAGGTGAACAACACCAAAAAGGAATGAGGAAGAGACCGTTTTTATATTCCCCAAGGCCATGCTTCCAGGTCCCACCCAGAGAAATTCAGGTACATGCCACTCTCACTCACTAGGCATTTCTTGATCCAGTGACCCTGACACTTTAGGATTAATGGTCAGTCACATGGATTAATGATTCAAGAGATACTTTCTAGGCAAGAAACCACTCCTGTTTTGAAAGGGAAATCAAAACTTTAAATAAAGCCTGCCAAGAATACCATCCCAAAGTAGGCAGACATGTCCAGACATGCCTGATAACAAGACATTTCTTTCTTTGTATAACTCATGCAGTGTATAACTGATGACCTTGCAATGTAACCCAAAATGTTTAAACTCCCTTAGCAACCCAAGGTGTCACCCAACCTTCCAATTATGATACACCAAATCTACTTTTGTACCTTCCTGCTTGCTCTCCCCATAAAAGCCCCAGAACCAAGCTTGGCAGGGCTATGACTCTTTGGAAGTGATCCAGTCAAGCCCACCAGTGTAATAAATGGCCTCCTAAACCTTCTCAGTGCTATTTTTCCCACGTTTGGTCTGTTTTTCCCTAACAGTTTCAGGTCTCATTTGTAAAATAGGGTTAATAATGCAACTCAATATATGCAGCTAAAAGGAGGAATAAATATATGTGCACATGAGGCATAATAAATCATATGGAGGAGTTTTCTAATTTAATATTAATACAAAAAACAAAAGATGGATGGACAGAGAAAATACGATATTTACGCCCACTGAACTACTTACTACTCTTCCATAAAGAAAAGTGGGAGGTAAAATCTAAGATGGCAGAGTGATAAGCAGCGAAGAAAGAGCCTTTCAGAGAGTTGCCATCCAGACACTGAAATATAGTAATGTGGAGAAGACAAAAAAGGAGGAAAGTGGGTCCTCTGGACCCAAAAAGAATCTAAAGCATGATTGATGCCTAGTAAACGCCTAGTAAATGAACGTGGCATCCACCTGATTCTTCTCTGGCCCACAGAGAGAAAGAAGAGAGACACTTCAATGAAGAAGGAGAAGGAGGTCTCCCTGCATGACAGGAGTGGTTTGAGTCTGCAGACACACAGAAGTGGCTAACTAACCAGGAGGCCTCTGCAGAGAGATGCAGCAGTGGAGGGGGGTAGCAGTCTTGGAGAGGAGCAGCAGTTGTGAAGGATTGCCCTGGTTGGCAGTGAGTGCAAAGGGCTCAGTCTTTCCATGGGAGAGAGCATTTGGCCTGGAACCATTCTGGAGATGGGTCAGCTAAAATCAGTACTCAGAACTGCAGCTGGCTCTATCTAATGGCTCCCAGTAGGCCTCACATTGCAGAAGGTGCTCAGAAGGTGGTGAGCCAAAGGTGACTGACCTGGGCCAGAAAGTACAGACTTGTGGAGAGACTATCCATTACCCTGCCAAAAAGCTACTGCTGGCCTTTTGGGATAGATCATCACGGATCAGGACTCTGCTTCCACAGATTGTTTGCTAGTGAAAGCAGAGACAAACCTGGACAAACTTGAAAGTGGAATTTTTCTTCTCTCTCTCTGTTTTGTCTTTTTGAGACAAGGTCTCACTATGCAGTTCAGGCTGGCCTTGAGCTCACTTTATAGTCCAGGCTGGTCTCAAATTCATGGCTATCCTCGTCCCTCAGCCGCCTGAGTGCTCGGATTACAATATGCACTATCATGCCTGGTTTCTCATTTGTCTTTGTTTTGTACATTTTGTTTGCAGTTTTTTCTCTTGCATTGTTTAATCTTGTTTTTGTATGAATGTGAATGTGGTTTCTAGCCTCTTTGTGGTTGCGGTTCTGTTACGTTCTTCTTTTTATCTCTTTCTTCTCTTTCCCTCCAGTCTTCTGCACCAGTTTCTCAAAATTAGCATGATCCCCCTTTGCCTCCAACCTTACTTCTGCTTTCTTTCCACACTTCTGTTTTCTGGTTAAGCCATTTTAAATTTTAACCCTTAAGGGCAAAATTGAAATATTAAGGGCTTGTATGCTTGTTTTAGATTTTGTTACATAATCACAAAATTAGTTCATATGGTTAAAAGTGGCAAATTAATGGTTAGCTCTATTTTTCATTTTCTAGACTGCGTTAGTTTGTACTGGCATCACTATAGACAAGTGCAACACAGTTGTGCTAAATAGCTGTTCATCCTGATATTCCAAGAGTGCAGTTAACTGTGGGTTACAGAAAATACTGTGGCATAATGCCAAAGATCAAGGGACTGGCCCAAACAAAAGGCAACTTCTCATCCCCAACAAATTGAAGAGGTGGGATCTTCTAACATACTGAAAACCTAAAAACCAGCTACCCCTGGGAGATACCTTGGAGAAATAGTCATTACCTAAGGGTCCTAGATAGTAGCAATAAAGCAATTTACCATAAGCAACTTACAAACATCACTCCAGAAACTAAACTAGAAAAACAAAAGAAAATGGCAAGATAATTAAACATGATATGGGATTTTTATCCTCCCATTGAAAGTATTTGAAGCAGATTAAGCCAATGTGAGGACAGGATCTCTGATACAGATGACAGGCTTTTAGTTGGTGATCATGAAAAGAATGATTTATCAAAACTAGCAAGGGACCGTGACAAATCAATACAGCAACAACAGATGAGACAAAGAAGAAAAGCTTAAGGTTGATTGGAGTCAACCAAAGAGCAGGAGATAATTCAAGAGGATAGTAGGAAGAAAGATGCTTCTGATGGTCTAGATGACTTGAATGTCTTTAATCAAAAGAAAAAGAAGAAACAAATGAAAAAGCTGTTTGATATTGATGAAGCAGAAGAGGATATAAAGGGTCTTAAGTGACATCCAAGAGCCAGCTGAATCAGAGGATATTGATATTATGCTTGGCAATAAAAAGAAGAATGTCTAGTGCCCAGATGAGGATAAAATACTAGAAAAAGACGAAGTTTTAGAAGACAAAGACAGCAAAAAAGATGTTGGTACTTCATTTAGTAACCAGACAAGCTCTGCTTGGGCAGGTTCAGAGAGAGAGACTACACATATAAAGAGCTGCTGAACTGAGTATTCAACCTCATGAGGGAAAAGAATCCAGATATGTTTGCAAGAAGGAAAAGAAAATTTTTCATGAAAACTCCACAGGTCATCTGAGAAGCAACCAAGGAAACTTCTCTTGTCAACTTTATAGATATCTGTAAACTATTACACGTTCAGCGCAGACATCTTCTTGTATTTTTATTGGCAGAATTCAGTACAAGTGGTTCTATAGATGGTAATAACCAACTTGTAATCAAAGGCAGATTTCAACAGAAACAGATGGAAGTGTCTTAAGAAGATATATCAAGGAATATGTCACCTGTCACACAGGCTGATCACTGGACACAGTTCTGCAGAAGGGCACCTGGCTCTATTTAGTGCAGTGTAAAACTCTGTTGCCAGCATCAACACTGGCTTCCAGGCTGTCACAGTCAAGGGAGCACAGCTCTGTGCCAAAACTAACCAATTTGTTAGTCACTGATTTCTCAAAGTGTGTTCTGAGGAATTAGCTGGACAGGTTTACTATCAGAGTGGATAAACCGTTGTATCAAAAACAAGATAGAAAAGCTGCCAAGAACTTTGGTGAGTGGTTCTGCGATTCTTGCCAGTGCTCAAACTATTGATATACTTATTGCCTCCTTTGAAAACCATCAGAGAAACATGATGGGGTAAGGAAGGTTTTTAAAAAAATTGTTCATAAACTTCTGTAAAATGCAAGATAAATTAAAGTTATTGTAACAGTGATTCTTTCAATTTGGTGTGTTCTTCAGTGTTCTTTTTTATATGTCTTTAGTGAATTCAGCACCAATCAAGCATGCTGTGGCAAGGTCACTGTACCTTTGTTCTGAGACACTACATTTACTGGGACACACTTCATTTGGGCAGCCACTTTTCCTTCAGAGCTTCTGTTGAGCTACATGGCTAACACAGACCTGGGTTTCCATGAAAGGCTGTTTGGAGCATGAGATCTGGCATGACTGCCTGTCTTTACTATCCATGGAATGACTATGTATATTTCATTTTTCTTACGTGAGGATTGTTGCTGCTACCTCTCCTCCAAGTCCTCCTCCAGCTGTTACCACATGAGAGAAATACAAGGTGCTAGGTACTCTTCTGTCCTTAGACTTTTCCTCCTTATTGGCCTCTTACTGTGTCTTGTAACTGGCACACTAGTTGTGCATCTACCTGTGTTGGTAAGGATGTGGCATAGGGTGTACAGTACACAGAACTCTTCTGAAAGTCTAAATGATGACACTGGAGACAGTTTATTTTTTCCCTGTCTTGTGTTTTGAATGGAAAATGGCCAACCACAAATGCTTTTCTATTTTTCTAATAAGCTAACTTTGAACGTGACTGAAAAACCAAGCGATGCAATTCTTTTTGGTGTTTTTGGTGCCTCCAGTTCTGTCTCCTGATGACTTGGCTGGAAGGGTATTCTTCATTGGACCCAGGGAATAAGGGTGTCTTGTGGGTCTGTGCTGTGATCTACCCTGCATGCACCTTCTTGAAATAAGGCATACACAGTGCTTCTTAGATTGTTCATACTAAGTAAGCAGCAGTTGTTCCACCCTGAATATCTTGATCTTATTGTTTTTTTTTTAATCACTGTAACCTTTAATTTTAAAATATAGCCCAGTGTTTT